TATTGGCACCAGCCAGGCAGCCTCAAATACTGGCTGTGCCAATAAAATAAAAGCCAGGTGGAATCCCTAAGAGTAGTGTGTGAAAAAAAAAAATGTAAAAAAAAATATTATTTTTTTTTTTTAAATCAATGGGCCTATTCCATGGGCTTTGGCCTGGGCCTGGGCCTGGAGCTGCAGCTCCATCAGCCCCTATGTTAATCCGGCCCTGGTTCCACCCATGAGTTCGCTCACAGGGAGTGGAGTGTGTAGGGGATCTGTTATGTGTTATTGTAGAGGATCTAATGTGTGTGCTTATGGTATGTAGTGTATAGGGATACCAGTTTGTGTAGGTGATACAGTGTATTTGTTTGTAGTGGAAGCAGTGTGTGTTTGTGTATAAGGGATGTATTGTGTGTTTCTGGTTGTGTGTAAAGGATGCATTGTGTAGATCTGTGTTTGTATGCATAAGGGATGCAAGGTGTGTGTCTGTAAGTGTGTGCATTGAGTGTGTGTAAGAAATACATTGTGTTTCTGTGTATATGTAAGAGAAGCAGTGTGTGTTTGCATGTGTGTGTAAGGGTTTGCATTCTGTGTTTCTGTGTATGTGTGCAAAGGATGCATTGTCTTTGTGTGTAATGGATGCATTGTGTGTTTCTCTGTGTGTAAGGGAAGCATGTTGTGTTTCTGTGTGTGTATAGGGATGCATTGTGTGTGCTGTCCTGCCCCCTGTCCTATAGAGCTCTCCCTTCTGTCCCTTAGAGCTCTCCCCTGCCCCATAGTGGTCTCTCCTCTCTCCCCCCCCTCCCCTAGCGGTCTCTTCTCACACCCACCCACCCACCCTCCCTGTGCTCTTCTCATCCTCCCCCAAACCTCCGGTGTTCTTTTCACCCCCCCTCCCTGTGTTCTTCTCACTCCCCCCCTCCATGTGTTCTCCTTACTCCCCCCCATGTTCTCCTCACCTCCCACTCCATGTATTCCTCCACTCCCCATGTGTTCTCCGCACTCCCCATGTGTTCTCCCTACTCCTCCGTGTTCTCCTGTTCTCCCCACCCCCACCCTCCCTCTACCTGTGTTTCTCACCTCCCTCCCTGTGTTCTCCTCACCTCCCTCCCTGTGTTCTCCCCCTCCCTTCTCCTCCCTGTGCTCTTTTACTCTCTCCCTCCTCTCTGTGTTCTTCTTCTTACTTCCCTTGTTCTTCTTACTCCCCTGTTTTTCTTACCTCCCCTGTTCTTCTTAATTCCCCTGTTCTTCTTAATCCCTCCCTGTTCTTCCTAATCCCTCCCCCGCTCTTCTTAATCCCCCACCCCCTGTTCTTCTTAATCCCCCCAACCCCCTGTTCTTCTTAATTCCACACCCTCCCTGTTCTTCTTAATCCCCCACCCCTGTTCTCAGGCGGCTTCAGCATTAGGACCGGCCCTATAGCGGCCGGTTTTCAAATGATTTGGGGCGGCCTGGGGGGCAATTGCCTTCCTGCCCCCCGGCCCAGCCCCCCCTGGATACATCACCAAGACCACTTCAATGAGCTGAAGTGGTCTGGGTGCCTACAGTGTCCCTTTAAAGTAAGAAGACCTACCCAACCTCTGAAAAACTGACCCATACCATTATTCCACACAATTCAGTCAGGCAGGTAACATTCTCCTGGCATCCACCAAACCCAGACTTGCCCATCAGAATGCAAAAGAAGTGTAATTCGCCACTCCACAGAACACATTTGTACTGCTCCAGAGTCTGTACACCACTCTGATGCTTGAAATTGTACCTTGTGATGTGAGGCTTGTATGCAGATAATCGCCAATGGAACCCATTCCATGAAGCTCAGTTTTTGTGCTGATAATAATGCCAGTGGAAGTTTGGAACTCTTCAGCTGCAGAATCAGCAGAGCATTGTGACTTTTACGCACCATGTACCTCAGCACTCAGTGACCCCGCTCTGTGACTTTAAATGGCCATCCGCTTCATGGCTGAGTTGCTGCTGTTCTTAAACGCTTCCACTTTCCAATAATATCATTTACAATAGCAAAAATGACATTTTACAAACTGACATATTGCAGAGCTGGTATGCTATCACAGTACCACGCTTGAATTCATTGAGCTCTTTAGAATGACCCATTTTTTTCATAAATGTTTGTAAATTCAGTTTGCATGGCTGTGTGCTTGATTGTATACACCTGTGGCAATACGTCTGATTGAAACACCTGCATACCTTTGTCCAAATAGTGTTTGTAATGGGGAAGTGGCACTTATTATTATTATAATTTTATTATTTATATAGCGCCAACAAATTCCGTAGCGCTGCACTTCACCTTTATCTATATCTGTGAAGAGGGGCTGGACCACAGACATTCAGAGGATCCAGGTAAGTGTCAAACTGATTAAAATTAGATAGACTCTTAACTGTGGGATTGCACCAGGGACTTACTGGCACCATAACCACTACAGAAGGATCTAACATGGTATAGTGATTACAGTGTCCCTTTAATTCAGTAAAGCAGGCCTGCACATTCAGCAGCCTCTCAGATGTTTTGAATTACAATGCCCATGATTCTTTGAATGAAACAGAATCATGGCACATAGCCAGGGAATCATGGGAGTTGTATTTCAAAACATCTGGGGGGCCTCAGGTTGTGCGGGCCTGGTTTAAAGGGACATTCTAAGCACCAATATCACCTCATCTTAATAAAGGGATTTTGGAGCACAGATGCTGCCTCTGCAGCCTTGCGTTGGAAAACCATTTAAAAAACACAGACTAAAATAGATTAGAGTTAATATTCTGCTGATGCAGGATGCTGGATGTATGTCTATTGATTCGTTCTCAGAGGCATTGAACTCAATGCTTCTCATGGAGCAGCACTGGTTTGACAGATCATAACTGAACCACATGCTTATAATGATCCTGTGTGAAAAGCATTTAATTGGACAAAAGTCATCAAACTCAATGACTTCACAGTGTGGAATAAAGCATGTTAAAAAGCAGATGTAAAGCTTTTTTTCCCCTTAAATAATTAATTTTAAAATAAATTAATTAAATATCATTTAGAATAATGGGCTGACTGAGGAGAAAAATATGTTTTTTTTTTTATGGGCTAGAGCGATACTAAATATATACACAAAATTTAAATGTTGTAGTGCTTAAAATTTTATGTCTCAGCATACTGCGGATATCCTTGAGTGTGAAGAAAAAAAATACAGGAACTTCCATCCATAAAGTGTAATAGGACCTAGATGATTAACTTGGGCAGTGCTGGTTGTGACCGTATTAAAGGTAAGGGTGCTGAAATAATTCAATGCAGCGGTAGAATTGTTAATCTGTTTGCTATATTGAGCGTTTTCTGTTGTTCTAAGCACAATAACCTTCTCTTTTGAGAAAGAAAACCATTACACTAATCTTGCTTAATCCAGGGGTTTTTAGCGCTTGTACATAATTGGGGACCAGGCAGGAAATTTTGGCTCCATGCTGACTGACAGCTGTATGTGGGGATTCTTGTTCTGCAAGACAAAGAAAAAGTCTCATGGAAATATATTTAACCCATAGTGTGCCTGAGAGCCAGCAAATTCCCTTATATTTCACTATTCCTCACAAAGTCCCCACAGATTATTAGCCCAAGGGGATGGACCCACAAACCTAACACAGTAATGAGGCCCTCTTCCATTCATAAACAATGATGGCAGATAGGAAACTCATAAATGAAAATGTGACTAGTTGTTGGCTTTCATGGCTTGCCTGGCACCACACTCTGTATGGGTGAACAAGACATTAATCTGTCTCACTCACTTGTTGCCTAAAATATCTGATTTCTGACTGGCAACATGGGCTGGCCCTGTGGGATATTTAAATGTTTTTTAACAAAATGCTTTGCATTTGAAACACCCAAAGAAACACACAGAGACCTCCCTGCATAGTTGGTTAATATAGGCAGCTGGCTAATTCATCCGTAGGAACAAACCAAAGGTGGCAGCTCAAATGCAGAAATCAACAGCCGCTTAATTCTGGTCTTGGTTTAAGTGGTCTTGATTGGTTGTATGGGAGCACATTAAAGCGGCACATTTGTTTTTTTTTGTTTTTTTTAAACCCCTCTCCTAACTCATTTTATTGTCTCCTTACTTACCCCCAAATGCCTCTAGGTCCTCTATTTCACCTTTTTTTTTTTTTACTGCTTTATTTCTTCTCTGGATTTATGTCCTAGTTTTCCCAGATGATGTCTACGACAGAGCCTTCAACTGCCCACACTAGCTCGAGCTGTGAAATTCCCACACGTGCCCACTTGTAGACTTGGGCATTCGCTTTTGTCCAGATTTCGGACTGAATTTTGTCTATTCGTCCATTCGTCAGAAAGCCGGAAAAAAAATAGAAATTACAACAAAACGAACGAAAACCAAATTGCAATTTGTTCTTTGTTCGTTTTAGTTAATTACAAAGAGGGAGCTACTGGCTCGTGGCTCTCTCTTCGTAATATTTAAATATAGAAGCAGCTCCCCACCACTTCCTAAATCCTCGCATCCCCCCTCACTCTATAGGGGTCAATATGACCCACATATTAGCATTAAGGGAAGTTAAATTCTCTGTGCTGCATGCAAGGTCATGTCTACTAAACAGTGAACAACCAGGGGCTTTTAACCAATTTGAGTGTTCTGAATCAAACTGCACAGCTTGGAATGGCTTTATAAGCATTTACTCGCCCTGCAAATTCAGTCTGCGCAGAGAGTCCGTGCCGGGTGAAGATTAATCATTTTTTTTCTGCATTTGTGATCGGGACCTTTTTTAATTTCAATAGTTTAACACAATTTAATGAATTTTTTATTGGCCTTTTTGGGGATGGGGAGAGGGGAGAAAAGATGGCATAAAAAAGAAGACATCTAATGGTAAGTATATTTTATTTTTCAGGTATTTAGTTTTTTGCCTCCTCCTCACTATTCTAAGGGTGAGGGGAGTAGGTAGGGTATCTGTTTATTGACATGGTGACTAGGTGCTAGTGGACAATACTAGGCTGTTTGGGGAGATATAATGACTGCTACGGACCCTCAGTTTCCACAGAGCAGTTAGGCTTCTCCTTCACTGCACCCCCAACTGCTACTTTCCTACTTCCCTCAAATTGTTCATAATTTTCACAAAATATTATTATTTTGTCCCACAATTATCCTTCACAAAGCCCAATAATCAATTAAAGGGGCAGCTAACTGGGCTTTGTGAAGGCCCCATTCACTGTCCCTCAGTGTGCTGCTGCAGGCAGAGCAGGGGGATCTACTTTCTCCCTGCTTGCTCAGAGTGGTTCCCCTCACATACAGAGGCAAAGCTCCATGAGGCCCATTTCCAAGCCTGGCCCATAGGTAGGCACCTAATAGGTAATCTGACTTTGAAGTCAGTGTGCATCAGTGTGTGTGTCTTTTTGAGTGTCTTTGTATGTACTGCCAGAAAGAGTCCCTGGACATTTTATATATATATGTATATAATGGAAATATATAAATACACTCACAAAATAAGAACAGATTCAGTTAGGTATGGAAACATAACCTATAGTTCACAAAGGGAAATAAACAACCAAAACGGAAAAAAGATGCAATAATGAACATTCCTTATTTCTTGCACTTTGACCATCCGTATAGCACAATATAATAGTGCTAATGTGATAAATAGTGAGTAAAATGAGCACTGTACATATCACACACACAAAATACCACAATAAAAAAATGGGGGTCTGTTTTTAATATTAAAGGAGCACTATAGGGTCAAGAACACAAACATTTATTCCTGACCCTATAGGGTTAAAACCACCATCTAGCCCCTCTTGCCTCCCTAAATCTAGTAAAATCTTACTTGTATTCAAATCTGGAGCTGCATGCTTTGTCCCTGTTTCCTTTAGACCTGCCCACTGCCTGCTGACATTAGCAGAAGTGGTGGCCTGATCCAATCACAATGCTTCCCCATAGGATTGGCTGAGACTTACAAGGAGGCAGATTAGGGGCCGAGCCAGCACAATTGGCCCTGGCCAATCAGCATCTCCTCATGAATTACTGATGATTTGAATCAATGAATCTCTATGAGGAAAGTTCAGTGTCTGCATGAAGAGGGAGGAGACACTGAATGTTTGGATGCATTTTAGGCAGCCATGACCCAGGAAGGATCTCTAACAGCTATCTGAGGAGTGGCCAGTGAAGTTATCACTAGGCTGTAATGTAAACACTGCATTTTCTCTGAAAAGACCGTGTTTACTGCAAAAAGCCTGAAGGTAATGATTCTACTCACCAGAACAAATTCAATAAGCTGTAGTTGTTCTGGTGACTATAATGTCCCTTTAAGTTAATCAAGATGCTAAAATAGTTCAAATGTATTAATATGTGTAGTGACTCACAAATTGACAAACAAATTCTACTTGTAGTAGTAATAAATAGTTAGTGTATGCCTCAATTTGTCAACTAAATCTCCAGCAAATGCACTAATAAAACAGATACTTAAATACAATAACTTCAACCTTCTCTAGGCATATTTAAGTTTTGGTTTTTTATCATGCATGGAACTGATAATGAAAAAGAGACAAGTACCAGAAGTGAATCAGTCAGTATACAAACAGTTCATATTGGCTCTTTATATATTTAGTCTTTGATCTAGCACAATGTATTTTTTAAATGAGCACAGAATTTAG